AACTTAAATTTAAAAAAAATTATAAGATTAGTTTCATTTCTGAGTATTCATAAATGGAAAGGTTGTGTAGAGAAGTTCCTTGAGATGTCTTAAACCAGGCTTTAGTAATCAAGAAGCCTCGTTTTGTAAGCTCTACTAGGTACTTAGGGTTAATGAATACACAGCATCATTGAGCAGTGACTGAAGATGGAGGTCTGTTGTGGAGGAAAATTTTGTTTCCACGCAGTGATCCCGACTAACCTCTCGAGTTCTTGCACTTCCTTCCTCTCTTGGTGAGGAGACAATGCAGAGGAGTCTCCTGCGTGGTCTTCACCATCAGGCAGGATACTCAGGGAATTGTTATAATCTGAAACTCAGAACTGTACGCTGCTCTCTTAAGTGCCTCTAGGAGAGCGAATTGATAACTGCAACTTCAAACATAATAGGAGCCTGTGAAGGCCATCAATTTATGCTAAGGAGGAGGAACAAATTAGAAAAGGAGAGTCAGAATGGTTGTGTAGCTCAGAAGAATATAATCAGTGCCACTCAGGGGAATATGTAGAAATTTGAATTGTTGTATGTTGTTGTTCTGTGTCGTCAAGTCATCTGTGACTCATAGCAACCCATGTACAATAGCCCTAAACCCTGCTCTATCCTTTGCCAATCTCATTGTCTCTGACACACCTACCCCCATTACCCCAGTCACTGAATCAATCCACCTCATAGAGGGTCTTCCTCTCCTGTGCTGTCTCTCCACCCTCCCAAGCATGACATTCCTCTCCAAGAACTGGTCCCTCCTTGCAACATGTCCAAAGTATGTTAGACAAAGCTTCAGAATCCTTGCATCCAGGAGCAGCCTGGCTTCACCCTCTCCAGGATAAACCTGTTTGTTCTCTTAGCAATCTATGACATATATATTCAATACTCATCTCCAACACCACAGCTCAAAGGCATTAGTTCTCCTATCATCCCTAGTCATTGTCCAGCTTTCTGATGCACAGCAAGTGATTGCAGAGACCATAGCCTGTATCAGGCATATGCACTGTAGTCTCCAGACTGACATCATTGCTCTTCAGTACTTTAGAGAGGTCTCTAACTACAGACTTTCCCATTGCAATATGTCTTTATTTCTTGGCTGCTGGTGCCAAGAGTGTTGATTGGGGAGCCAAGCAAACTAAAGCTACAATTCAAACAGATGTATACACACTCATATTTATTGCTGTGTTATTTACAGTGGCAAAGAGATGCAAGCAACCCAAGTGCCCATCAACAAATGAATGGATATAAAAACTGGTATAAAACCCCCACA